TCGAATTATACCAATCTATCCAACATATACAAAAAGGACAATTTTCTTAAAGAAGAATCCGAAGATATAAACTCTGGAGCAACCCAAATCTCAGAGATGTTCAATTCAAATATATAAAATACTATTGAATATCTCTACTGAGCATTATAAATATGCCATAGAACTCAAAAATTAAATTGATACTATTGCAGCACAACTAAAAGATATACTGTCTGAGACAGATATACCAAAGAGCTCAGAAATGAGTTTTCCAAACCAATATCAAATAGTGACAGCTGGAAGCAGCAGTGGACCTAGACGTGACAACATACCAACTGATAGTAAATGAGATTCCATTTCAACCAACAAAGTTATGATACAGGAGATAAAAGAGATACAAAAACAATCAGCATCATAGACCAAGAAGATAAAATCCCTTTAGATCTAAAAGAAGAAAAATATGTCGAAATAGTCAAAATCACTTATGAAATAAAAATGAGTGACTCATATTTTATTGCTCCTAGAAATAATGTTTATCCCAGAATAACATCCATAGAAGGAGAAGACCCTTTATTTATAAAAATTATAGCAGACTATGGATTCATGGATTTAATTTATCCAGGAAAAGATTTTGTTGAAAACTCAAAGTTTAATGACATATTCATTAAAGAAGTTTTCATATTTGCCAAGGGAAGGAAAATATATTTGAAATTCTATTCAATCAGTCCAGAATATGATAGAATTGTTTACTATCCAGTTGAACACATAATCTCAATTGGATATGTTGCAGCTAATTTCCAAATTGATGTTACATAAAATAATAGAAAAATTCCAACAGTGACAAGATCATGGATCAAACATAGAAGAGCACTTGGAATTAAAGTCATCTACAATATTGCCAAAAATTTGTTTGATAAAAAATTCTCGTATTTGTGCCAATATGAAAATTGGATGTTAGTATCCAATGGAGGATATACAAAATCAGAAAATTTAAAAGACTATATTACAAGATTTGATATACATCAATTTTCGGAATGTCCTACCACTATAAAAGAATCTTGCCAACTAAGTGAGTGCCCCAGTTGCATGTGAAGAAATAAAGGAAGATGACAATAATAGAGCACATTTGACAAAGGTGTCCAGCTGCATGTGAAGACATTGAAGATAAGGAACAATAATAAAAAAAGATGCTCTTTGGATAAAAAGTTGAGGCAACAAGTGAAGATGTAGGCCCAAGGAGGAAAATAATAGAGAGGCAAGTGTGCCTTGTTGATGTACTCAATGATGTAATAGAGTCTTATAAACTTGTATAAATAGAGATATTGCCATAGAGAAATATCATCTCATCGTATCTTGAAATCTCGAGTTGTAAGCAATAACTACTCAAAAAACCTATTCCCAATTTGAAAAATCAGTTTTTCTGAAAATCCCTTTGTACCAAATAGAAGTTTGTATAAATTCTAATAGAAATAAAACTCCAATATTTTTTATATGAATATGAGTTTCTAAATCTTTATTCTCATAGATTTTTGATAGATCTGATAAAAAGTTTCCTTCTTATTTTAGCAAAAAAAAAGTTTTTTTTTTTTTTTTTTTAACAGAAGTCTAGGATTTCATTCTTTAGAGTTTGATACGGTGAGTGCAAGTTGCTGAAACAATAACAATTCCATGAAGGCAGGAGGCTATTGAAGGAAGCAGTTTACAGATTCAGAGCTGAAGGTCACTCGGTTTTAAGAATACAAGTCCAGATCAAACCTAAGGTACAACTATTAAACTTTTTGCTAAAATTAGAATGAATCTTTTTAAGATCTTAAAGAATCATTGGAATTAATTGAATGATTTGATGATCATTTGAATAAATGTCAGGATATACAATTAAAAGATTGAGTAATTTATTAGAAAGAATGATAGAAGTAATAAAAATTATGTATTCTCAATTAGAAAATATGGATGCATTTTCTAAAAAATATAAGATATTAAATAATAAATGTGAACAATATGTTGCAGATTATTCCAATTTATTAGATCATAGAATGAAATTATATTCAAATATTCAAAATAGGGTAAATAAAAGATAAAATGTTTAAAAGATTAGAATATATGTTGCAATATAGAAATAATCTTTTCATTAAGAGTAATATAGACCTTTCAACAAAAAGGAATAGTAATAAGTCAAATAAAAAAAATCTCCCGCAACTCAAAGAGTTTGATGACTATATTCTAGTTTTCTTAGAAATCAACAAAAACTCGAAGGTGGTCGAGTTCTAGTATTCATTTGAACTCAACTGAACTTCAATTACATATCTGTTCATATTTATTTTTATCGCTTTCGCTACGCTGCATCAGTTGGTATCACATTCAAGTTCATCCTAATAACGTTCATTGAATTCAATGACAAAAGTTATGATGTATGATGCAATCTTTTCGTTCCTAGATTTGGATGATGATTATGATGGTCTGTCAATTTTTGACAAAAAATAAAGAAAAAAAATTGAATAATCGATTTCAATTACAAAAGTCCTCCAATCCTTGACGACGAAATTCAAGAACTTGTGAATTTGATAATGATAGTTACAGTGAACCCTTTGTGTTCGATGAAGAAAGTATGAATTTATGTGGTGATAATTATGACGTTTCACCTATTTTCTAATAAGAACCTGATGTCTATATATTTGATAGGTGGTCCAAAGAAATCGTGCTTGGTTTTAAGTACCACGCAAGATAGTCCATGGATCTTGGGACATTCGCTATAGTTCAAACTTCATTGAAAGAGTTTTCTTTTTATGCCCCTTGCAAATTTACCAAGTAAATTACCATTATTACAAGATTTTGAGGGCTAGTTTGGGCCCGATTTTTTCACCAAAAAACTTGATTTTTTGACCGTTATTTCACTATTCCAGCCATTATATTTGACTTCTTCTCTCACAAGTGGACCCCACTTTTCTCCTAACGGTCAAAAAATCAGTTCTCAAAATCACTTCAAAACGGGCTCTGAATAATAACATGGTACAAGATTTGAGGACAAATCTTCGTTAATTGAAGGAGAATGATGAAGATTAAATATGGATGATTTTATTTAATTTAATCAATTTTATCTATTTTAAAATTATTATTAGTTTATTCTTGTCGTTATCTTTAATTTTATCATTATCTAGAGTTAATCATTGTCTAGAAGTTTATTATTAGATTTTGTTTACTTCTTTAAATACAAGTTGTAAGCCTTATGAAAATTAAATTGAATTGAGTTGAGTTTGAATTGAAATTTGAACTGTTGAGATTTTCTCCAATTTCTTGAATTCTTGTATTTAATATTTAAAAGTCAACGAGTCCAATTCCAATTCACTGTTTTCGTACACAGATCAAAGAATTTGATGCCTAGATTTTTGGTATTCTTAGAAATCAACAAAAAACTAGAAGGTGATCATGTTTCGGTATTCGTTTGAAATCAACAGAACTTCAACTACGTATCCGTTCATAATTATTTTTATTGCTTCTATGGTGCTATATCAAAAATCCATAATTCTTTCAGCCCTAATATTGGAATATATATAGATTGATGAGGCTCATCAGACTTTCGAGGTCAAATTGTTTAGGGGTCTGTTTTAGCTCTCTCTCTCTCTCTCTCTTCTGAGTTAGTTTAAGAATATTTTCATTATTTTTGCAGTTTTTTAATTCTATTCGAAATTTGTGTTACCGAATTAGGGTTTCCCTTTTAGTCTTTAAATATGTGTTATTATAGCCATTTGTCAAATAATTATATTTCAATTTTTCGTTCTTTGGTGGATTCTGTTGTTGACAAGGTGACAAGAGCAAGACTCGAGCCTTAGGAGCCTCGGTATAAAAAATTGTTTTCGTGTTATTTTAATTATATATGGCTAATTTATAAATAAAGTAATTGATGTAGCCCGATGGATGCGATAAGAATGGATGACTTTAATTTAATGTAGTCAATTTTTCATCAATTTTGCTAGTAGAAAAATAATTCTCGAAATCCTAATCTAAACCGAAGTCTTTCACCTCATTATATCAATTGTAAGAATTTTTGTCTTCCAACAAAACACTTGGACATTTTGGTGTAGATCAAGATATGAAATAAATGAATCACCCATTGGGTTAATGCGACATATCAAGATCTTGAGAAGAAATTGTTGCTATGCAGGAGATGTACAATATTGAATCTTCAAAGGAGAAATCAATATCTGCCATCTGAGTCATTAAGAGAATGATTTATAATCACGAATCAAAGTTGATCCTGTCTAGGGAATTAAAATTTTAAATTTCTCCTAGGCATGTCTATTTAATTCCCAATGCTTTTTTGACTAAAGTACCTTCTTTTATAACTTTAACATGATTGTCGATCTATCTAGTTAATCCTTGTGGCAAGCGAGAATTTTCTTACTTGGCAAAGCTCACTACTCAGCTTGTAGAGGCAAGAACTCATCAATTCAAATGCTATTCGATCTTGACTTGAACCTCTTCTTTAGACTTTGAATTAATTGTCTTTTTGACACCAAGATGTCTCAAACATTAGATTGGTGAAGTTCATAACGCAATCACATTTTGAGTATTATAGCACTATCACCTATCGAAAATCATTTGAGAACCTTGAGTAGTTTTTCCCTTCCAAAAAAAGGGGAAAAAAATTCATATATTTCATCTTAAAATCTCAACTTTTCCGTTCTATCATTCTATGTAAACCAATTCTATTTCTCGAGTAGAGGTACCAACACTTCTAGTCTAGGCCAATATTATCTTGTTTACTCCCACTAATATAGAGATAACAAAATATCTTGCTTACATCCTGATTCGTTGGTTAGTCAAGAATCGGGATAGACATAGAGAACACGGTTCTCATTCTCACTCTTCTTCTATATATATATATATATATATATATATATATTGTGTAAATCTATACTGTGTTGTAGATCGCTTAATATAAATATAAAAATTAAAAAAAAAAAAAAAAATTGTCGGCTTGCTTAACCTGAACCCGAATCACACCTTATAACTTTTTCAGTGAACAAATCCGACTCGACCCGGGAGAAAACTGGCAAGAGACGCTCCAAAAAGTGTCGGGCCAATGGGTTGGAAAAAGCTACCCGAAAATGGGAATTTGAATGACACAAACTGGATCCAATTTCAATCTTGAGAGCCCTATAAACAAACCAAATTCGACCGTTGAAGTCCCCCTTTCATTTCAAACTTCAATTACATTTTCATCATACTCTCCTCTCTCTGCTCTCAGAAATCCCCAAATCTCCACTGTATTATTGTTTATAGCCTGAAAAGCACTTTTATTTTTGTATTATTCATTCTTTGAAATGGCAAGAAGCAAACCTGCCCGCGAATCAACCGATCGCGAGAAAAAATGGAATAAAGTTTTTAATGCTTTAGTAAAAATGTCACAGAATCTACAGAATGAAAGGCAATTTCTTGAACAGAGAATCAAATCTCTGCACGATGTTATCCATGAGGTGAGATTAGTTCTTTTCTTGTTTGTGTATGCAATGTGATTTTTTTTTTTTCGAGTTAATTTAGGGTTTCGAGGATTTATGGGTTATTTTGGGAATTTTTGGGTTCAGATGAAGATGGAACAAAATGTTCACTCGCTGAAAAAGGAATTGATTCTGGGTTTGAAGGAGAGAGAGGCTTTCCTTTACAAGCATAAATTTGGTAGGCTTCTTTTCCCTTCAAGCTTTTTCACTTTTCTTGTTTTTCGGATAATTTTAAATTTTCTTAGAATTCTTGGTAATTTCCGCAAGAGATCTGAAATTTTTATGAATATAAGATTGGCCAAGCCTAGATTATTTTTTCATTTTTTCTTAACTTACCCGAGCATTTGACATTGTAATTTTACCTTTTTATACTTGTGTTATGGAGTGCAGAAAATGCTGACAATGAATTAACTGACTTTATAGACTGGGTTGGCTATCTCTCTCAGAAATGTTCCGAGCCCAAAGTATGTTCCGTACAATCTAGTTGATATGCTTGGCAGTTTTCCATTTTACAGGGTCTTGAAATTGTTGTCTGATTTGCAGGATATAATGAATGATATTAACAATAAAGAAGAACGCCAGCGACACAAGGCACTGCAAAGTGAGGTTAAGAGGCTGAAAAGTGAAATAAAAAAAAGTAATGCAGAGAAGAACTGCACTGTTTCTGCTTTGTTAGCTGAGAAGAATTTCGTTTGGAACCAGTATAAGACAATGGAGACCGATCTCACCGACCAATTGAGGGAGAAACGTGCTGAAGTTGAAAGTGCAAATGAGAAGATACAGACACTTGTGAGCAGAACTGAGGAGTTGCAGTTTTCGAGTGAAAAGTTAAGAGTTGACTTTGCCAAGCTGAAATCTGAAACAGTAAAAAAGAACGAAGAAATTTCACGGCTTTCTAGGGAAATAAAGCTGTTAAAGTCCAGATCAACTTCTGCAACACCTGTATTACAACGCTGCAGGGTGGAATCAGGAACTTCCCCTGTAAAAGGCAAGAATAGCAGTGGAATGGCTGTGACGGTGAAGAAAGAATTAGATTCTTCAAAAGACCATGGAAAGGTGATAATCTTGTTATTCTTTGGCATGCCTTTTTTTACTTCAAGTGTTACTATTCTGATTGACAAGGGTTGTCCTTAACTTGCTTGTGAAGTTTGACTCTAGCTTGGTTATACAGTTGCATGGTAGATTATAACAGTAGGAACTTATACCTATATTAGTTCTAACGGCCTTATTAGGTGATTCCACTACAAATTAATTCGTTCAAGATTCTGTGTTGCTTGGCTGCTGGGCAACATCATAAAATATCTTGCTGTTCTAATTATTTACAGAGTATATAATAAGAAAAGTGACTTTTACTTGAGGACAATACATTAGTTGTATGCATCTTGAAATTCATATTGTTAAGATGATGAACCTATCCTTGATTTTTCTATTAATGATGGGTTTGTCGATCTTTGATATTAGATTCTATGGTTTACCATTTTCTTGTTTTAAATTCATGTATATTTATTTTAGAGTCTGTCAAAATTAGCATTTTAATAGGCTATGATGGGTGGATTTGTTAAATTGGCTTGATAAACTCTGGCTTTCTATTTTACTCTGGTTTGTGGAAAATTCTTTATTATATTGAAATTGATTTAGGATTTTCTTTTTGCAATCCTATAAATTTCCATGTACTTTCTGCAAGAACCAATTCTGATTTGAGAATTTTACATTTATATAAGCAGGTTTATGTTTTCATCATTACATTTTGTGGAGTGTATGTTTTAATGTAAATCTATGTTTGAGAAATCTGCAGCTGACTCATAACAAGCAAAAAGCACGTAACTCAACTGGAGAAAAGGCTCTGAGGAAGCAAGTGACTACTGCTAAGGTCACTTCTCTCCCCTCTCTTGATTTCTTCACTCACAATTTCATGCATGTAAAATCAATATGATTATGCATTTGTTTTTGAGTCACTAATGAATGTTAAAAGACATGGATAACACTCATCTTTGCATCTCACCTTCTTTGTCTCTGGATTTCCCCAGTTAGATCTGCACTGACATGAAAACCTTATTCTTCTATTCTGTCTTAGGCAACTAGATTAATGAAATATCCTGACCTTCATGGCTGAACAACCTCAGGGACTTGAATGTCAGTTATCTATGATACAAAATTAATAAACAAAAAACTGTTTTCAAAATACAAGCCATTTATATGGCCTAACTGTACAATAGGATAATTGATTTATGCACTACTTTCTATTATAAATTTTTCCCAGTTGCATAGGTTTGGAAATGTTGGTACTACTTATTAGTAGGATTTGGTAGTTAGTTCTCCATCATATTTTGCAAATTTCATTAATGTTTTTGATTGAATTTCAAGATCCAATCCATGTTAAAGTTGTGTTACAAAAAATATGCAGTTTACAAGTTTTACCAGTTCCCCTAAATCTAGAACCTGCATTGTGTCATTGATACTCAGATTATTGCTTAGTAACCACAAAATAGTGTAAAAAAGGCTTGAAGGGTGGATGGTGACTATGGATACAGATTTATCAGTATACATACATGTATTCTTTCACACTAGTAAGGAATTTTGGATTAGAGTATGGTGAAGCTTAAAAGGTTATTTTTTAAGTAACTTATTTTGATAGACAAGTTTGAGGTTTCTTAAAATTACTTTATTTGGATTTTGTGTAATCTTCGTCAAAGTAAGTATGTTTGCTTTTTGTTAAGCTTAACCAAACACATTGTAACTTCAAAAATATGGGGGTAGTGGGATGGGTGTATTGAAGAAATCTTATGCTAGAATCTTTTAACCCTATCACAATTAATAATGTGAAAAATCATGACTTGTATGTCTCCAAGATTCGTTGTTGACTTAAAAATTGGGTTGTGCAGGAAAGCAATAGTTCAAAGAGAAAAGCCGATGTCATTACCATCTTGGATACTCCAAAATTATTCACATCGTCGTTTAAAGTTCCTAAATTGAAGTATCCGTCTCCACTAGTGGTGTAGCTTCTTGTGCTCATTAGTTTGGACAGTCAACTTGTCAGTACATAAATATTTGTGCAACTCTGATCACCAATGTGCTTATTTTTTATTTTAGGATTCTTCGATAGTGTTGTAATTTATAGCTAGGCAGTGTGTGTATACCATGTACACGTGTTAGGATTGAGGATGACATCTTTAGTTTTCGAACGGGTAATCTCTTTTACCCTGCTAATTTGGAGAGATCCAATAGCTAAGCTAATCATGCATAAATTCAGAATGGTTGTTTTGTACACAATTAGGTCATGATTTGAAGGAGGTTGTTATGATTGGATTGTACTTTTTTGTTTTACTTACAAGTACAACTTTTTATGAGACGAGTCATCTAGCAATTGTTTGCCTGCTACTAACGAGGGTAAATATTGTTGTGTGTGTGTGTGTGGGGCCGGGGGGGGGGGGGGGGGGGGGGTGGCCCCTATTGCATCAGATGAGCTTGAGAATTTTCATAGGATGAGGTTCCATCATAAGATGTCGATGGTCCTTCATCCTTACCAGTTATCTTTCTTTTGCAACCTGTTACACTCTAAATCCTAAAAAGGCTCCATGTGGGCACCAGCATGGCAACGAAGGCCATGTGTACTTTCTGCAAAAGATGCGTGGATAATCCCCACTTTCATCGTAATGTGAGGCGAAGACCATGGTCTATCTGCCTTTGCGCTCGCCCCTTTTGTCGTTCTTCCTACCATTGCACATCAACGCTTAACAGATGAACACCCCATCTGCCGAACACTTGTGGCAAAGCATGGTATTCGAACACATACTCGTGTGTCTAAAGAAAGATGCGTTCAATAAGGAAACCACCTTGCCGATTCTTAAAAACCAGCATGTAATCCTTGTCTTTTATCTATCGACCAAACATGCCTAAATCAAAGTGAGTCATGTCTATGTCTGTTCATGTGCAAATTAAAAGTATAGTGAAGTACACAGCTGATTAACTAATTGTTGGGTCTAGATTTTTTAGATTTGGCTTAATAGACACCTTTACTTTGTTTTCGATTCGAAATTTATATGTTTAAGGTTCAGTATGAAAATAATTTCAAAGGTTTTCCCTATGAGTAGCCAGCTCATTCTTCAACTGGTGCCTAGTTAGAGATCCTTCGGTGTTACAGAACCATACATGAGATAAATAGAAAATGATTATTATCAATATTAATTTTTTTGTCTTAAATTGGACAGTTATGAAAAGAAGGAAGGAAATTGACACAAATATGGTTAAAATAAGGCATTTCACTGAGTTTACTTATCATATATTGTGTCCAATATTAACAACATTTTGGAAAGAGTAATATCATTTAGTCCCATTGGAATTACAACCCCAATCTGAGTAACATTAATTGATAAGTAGAATTAAATAATTCATTTAATTTTATTTTTCATTTAATCTATCGTTAAGTGCTACCTAGATTGAGATTACAACTCCAATTGGACTGCATAATATTATTCTTTTGGAAAATAGGCAAAGATCCTGTTTGTACAAGGAAATAAATATGTCTTTTAATCCCTCTATAACTCCATATATCTTTATTAATCAGATAGGATTCAAGAACAAAATTTAAAACTTCCAAATCCCTTCATAATCATAACTCCATATATCTTTATGCGTCGATTTTTTTTTTCTTTGTGAGGAAATCAATTTGATTCCTCAATTTAAATCCTTACGTCTGCAAATCGAACGGTAGAAATAAGAGAAAAAAATTAATTGCCCTGATTTGAACTTCCCTTTTGAAGAGACGTTTGGGGTGGATTCATCACAACCATTGGATACTAACAAAGTTACTGCTGATCAAAGGACCAAATTTGCTGAAGCTAGGAAGATAAGAAGGGGAATAATCATTGGCCAAGTTGATGAAAAAGTAGCAGATAGCTTTTTCTTGGAAATAATTTTTCAAGTTAGTGCATTGAATGCATAATAAACTCGACAATGCTGAACATAATTAAAGTATCGAATATGACACACACTTCGATAGTATTAATGTTTGCTATATTTTACTTTCACGGCTGAAATTGTAAAATAGGAGAGGTTTATAGAGATTTTCTATCTAAATTTTTTTCTCGAGTTCATCTTTTATTTACCTATAGCTAATTATATTAGTGTCATTTATTCTAGAACATGATTTATTCCCAAATAATTGTGAAAATCTCAATGATATTTGGCTATAATTATAAATATATAAAATTTGTGTATTGTTTGTGAATGTCAAGCATTTGGAGCACGTTTTTCATAATTGACAATCAATGTCCCTCCTTGATGAAGTACACAAGTAGAAGTTTTGATTGAAAAGGTTTCATAACTAACCTTCAATGTCCCTCTTAATTGCTTAACTCACAGATATTCAACATATTTCTTAGAAGCTATTTATTATTATTATTATTATTATTATTATTATTATTATTTTTTTTTTATCTTCAATTTTTATCATAAGGTACTATAGTTTACGCGTGTTAGGATTGAGGATAAAAATTTATAGTTTTTCAATGGGTAAATTTCTTTTACACTGCTAATCTATAACGAGACAATAGCTAAAGGTCCGTTCTCTTTGTTGTTTTCAGACCATTTTTCAGTTTTTAATTTTCAAAAATAGTGAAAACATGTTTATTTACCTATTTTCATTAATGAATTTTTGAAAACGCAAAAAAAAAAAAAAAAAAAAAAACGCAAAACGGCCTTTTAGTGGTTTTGGCCCTTTTTAGTAGAAATCAAGCCAAAACTTCAAAATACGGAAAAAGCGATTTTTTTGCCAATAGTAGGACAGCTCAGTTGATTGAGTTATAGATTTTCTGAAGGTCACGAGTTTAATTCCGTTTCACCGTAATTCAATACAAAAGAATTTTCTTTTTATATGCACAGTACAAAAAATTTCAATTAAATATCGCTTTTTTTATTTTTATTATTATTATTTTTTTTGGCCAATAGCAAGATAGCTCAGTTGGTAGAATTACGAATTTTGAGATGGTCACGAGTTCGATTTTGCCAACCTACTTTCAATGCAAAGGATTTTTTTTTTTATATACACAGTACAAAAATCTTTCAAATAAATTGGTATTCACCGGCATGAAGTTTAATGTCTTAAACACTATGGCAACCGCTTTTATGGACACTCAAAACACAAAATCCAAAATGAATTCAAAATTTAAAACTAAAAATTGAAATGCGAAGAGAACAGCCCCAAAGCTATTCATGTAAATATTCAACAATCATACAATGTGTATAGAAATGTTTAACAATTTTTTGACAAATTATTGGCTAGCGAGATTTCATTAAATGTTGGACGAAAAACACAATTAAAATAGCAAATGAATTGTTATCACCTCATCATCTGCTATGCATTATGTACATTTTATCTGAACTAGGAGTTTAATTCGATATTCAGAATAGTTCTTTTGTACACAATTAGGTCATGATTTCAAGAAGAAGGTTGACTTAAATGATTGGATTGTACTTATTAAGTGCAACTTTAGTGAGACGAGTCTTCCGACAATTGTTTGCACACTATTGATGAGGGTGAATATTATTTTATGTGCGCATAAGAATTTGCATTAGATGAGGCTACAACATAAGATGTCGATGGTCATTCACCTTTACTAGTTGAAAAGTCCAAAAATAGATAAACAAGAGAGGGTGAATTGATTTTCCAATTTTTTATTTTTATTTTTTTTAAATATTTCTTCTATATATGTATAAGTTTGGAATAAATATATCTATTAATCAAAGTACACAAATATGAAAGCAATAAATAAAAGGGAGGAGAATATACAAATGATTCCATTACCAAGCTCTCCGTCACGAACAAAACATTTTCATTAAATTTGATTGACTTATGATACAATCCAAACCTTTACAATATTTCATGTGACTTAAATTATGGCTGTAAATGGATCGTATATGCTCAAATCCGATCAAATCCATTAAGAATAGTTATCTGATTTGATAATCCGACAGATATTTGAATGTTAAATCCATATTCGATTAGCTATATTATCGGATATCGGATCTGATAACCCTATCCGAAATTGAAAAAATATAGAAAAATAAAAATTTTATTTATTTTTTCATCAAAAATCATAGCATCAACAAGATTAAAATTAATTATATATTTTAAAAAATATTTAAACTATCTTGATGTGCTCACTTATTATATTAAAAGACCTGAATCAATTTTTTTAATCCAAGTGGTGCTTCTTTTAACACATTTCTAAAGGAGATTCTTCTTGAAATATTTTAGTGATATTCCAATGAGGGATGCTAGCTTTTTAAAGGATTCCACCCTTTCATTGATTTAGTGATCTTTCAATGTAGGATACTAATCTCAATCATTTGTCAATTCTAAGTGTTTACTAGTTTATTTTATTATTTTCATTAAAAATCATAGTCTCAATAAGATTTTAATTACAAACAATATCAATTTAAATAAAGTAAATTATTTTTGATATATTAATTATTAGTTTTTTATACTATAAAACAAATTACTATAGTAAATCTAATCAATAAATTAATTGTTATTTTATCTTATTTTAATTAATAAAAAATTAAATCTCTTCAAAAATTTCAATTAAAAATATTATAATATTATATGATATTATTTATTATTTATTATTTAAAAATTACGTGTAAAGTATAATACAATTTTCAGAATGGAAAAAATGGTGTCATAAATTATGCGATAATATAAAAAAAATCTATTATTATAATAAATCAGATCGGATTATTATCGGATCAGATTGACCTAGATACATATTTGATTCATTTAGTTAACAAACTATCGGATTCGAATCTCGATCGGGCTATCGAATTGAGATCTTAAATTCATCTTCTATTAATTTTATCCGATTCAGATCAAAATCTAATCCATTAATGGCCCTACTTACAAACGAGTAGAACCGATTCTTATACAATATTGAAATTCTTAAATCGTCAATATGACCCATAAATTTAAAGATGAATAATTTTAGAATTGGAATCTTCTTTCTTAATAAATGATATAAACAGATTAAGTACTAAAATAGAAATAGGCTAGCATTTTAATGAATAGCAATGAATGAAGTTCAAGTGTTAGCCGAGTAATCGGACAAGCAATCAGATGTTCGTTTTCTCAACTGGATAATCAAGGTAGCCATTGGGCATTAGAATTCAGGACGTCTAAAAAAGTGACTGTTGGATGAACTAGACGTCCGTATCCAAAGAATTTCTCCGATTTTTCCTTCTTAAATGTTTTGAAACATATAGGCTTTTGAAGGACGTTTTTCACTTTATTTTTCAAGGTAAATAATATCGTAAAATGTGTTCCAAGTTTGATAATTTTTATGTAAGTGTT